AACAATTGAAGTTCAAGTAAAGTTTATTATTAAGGAATGTTCAGTTCTTTTAAAATAAACTAACAATTATTTATAAGCAAAAGGTTAACGTGATCGCAATCAGAATAGTTTTAAACATTTTCTTCTTAATTTATGTTAATTATAAGGATTATTGTTAAAAACTATGAAGTTCTTTTAAAATATTATATAATTAATAATTATTTTTCAATAAAAAATTAATGTGTTGTTTTGGTTATTATTTGCTGTCTTTCCAATTTATAATTATGTAAATTCTCATTTTAGGCATGGTGAGGACAACAGCATACGCACTCTAGATTATATATAAGACCTTGATCCTATCGATGAGTTGTACCAACCTAAATTAATAAAAAAGTGAATATTTTGAAAAATGACGTTTTTGACATAAAAATTGATGATATCTCAAGAATAAAAGGAGATGGGAGAAAATGATTAGGACAAAAAATGTTCTATATTAACGTAGGAAATATATTCCATAAACGATTATATCCGATCGATGAGTTGTACCAACCTAAATTAATCAAAAAGCGAATATTTCGAAAAACGACGTTTTTGACTGAAACAATGTTGATATCTTAATAATAAGAAGAGGTGCGAGAAAGTGATTCAGACGAAAAATGTTCTTTATTAACCTAAAGAACATATTTCATAAACGATTATATCTCATGAATTAGTTATACCAACCTAAGTTAGTCAAAAACGAATAGTTCGAAAAATGACGTTTTTAACATAAAAATGATGATATCTCAAGAATAAAAAGAGATGTGAAAAAGTGATTGAGACAAAAAATGTTCTTTATTAACTTAGGAAACATGTTCCATGAACAATTATATCCCATCAATTAGTTATACCAACTTAAATTAAACAAAAGACGAATATTTCGAAAAATGATGTTTTTGGCATAAAAATTGAAGATATCTCAAAAATAAAAAGAGATGCGAGAAAGTAATTGGAACAAAAAATGTTCCTTATTAACTTAGAAAACATGTTCTATAAACAATTGTATCCCATCAATCAGTTATACCAACCTAAATTAATCAAAAAGTAAATATTTCGAAAAATGACGTTTTTTACTGAAAAATTGATGATATCTCAAGAATAAAAGGAGATGGGAGAAAATGATTAGAACAAAAACTGTTCTATATTAACGTAGGAAATATATTCCATAAACGATTATATCCGATCTATGAGTTGTACCAACCTAAATTAATCAAAAAGCGAATATTTCTAAAAACGACGTTTTTGACTGAAAAAACGTTGATATTTTAATAAGAAGAGGTGCGAGAAAGTGATTAAGACGAAAAATGTTCTTTATTAACCTAAAGAACATATTTCATAAACGATTATATCTCATGAATTAGTTGTACCAACCTAAGTTAGTCAAAAACGAATAGTTCGAAAAATGACGTTTTTAACATAAAAATGATGATATCTCAAGAATAAAAAGAGATGTGAAAAAGTGATTGAGACAAAAAATGTTCTTTATTAACTTAGGAAACATGTTCCATGAACAATTATATCCCATCAATTAGTTATACCAACATAAATTAAACAAAAGACGAATATTTCGAAAAATGATGTTTTTGACATAAAAATTGAAGATATCTCAAAAATAAAAAGAGATGGGAGAAAGTGATTAGGACAAAAAATGTTCTTTATTAACCTGGGGAACATATTTCATAAACGGTTCTATCTCATGA